GCAAAAAAAATTTGACAAATTTAAGTTACTTTTCTCATTAATCTAATATATAAAAAAACATTATTACTTTAACTTTAACTAATAAAAAAGATTATTTATAAAATTTGAATATTGTAAATTTATATTAACTATATATATAATCAAAATTTAATATAATTTTCATATATTTATTAAAATCTGTACTGCTATTTATTAAATCCTAATATATAGATAACAAATAAAACATAACCACTAAAATTATTCATATAAAGAATTTAATATTAAATTATTAGAATTAGGCTCTATAGTTTAATAATAAAGCTGCTAATTTTTTACAAACAAAATTAATAGTTCAAGTTAAGCTAAAGACAAAAATTTTAAAATTTTAACTTTATAACTTATAAGAAGCCAAATTGAATACAGAGCTCTGTAAAAAGTCTTAAAGTAAAATATAAGAATAGATTAAAAATTTCTAAAAGAAATAAAGACATTATATGTAATAGCAGTATTACAAAAGGTTTAGCTACATAATAGTATTATGCATATAAGTTTTTATAAGATAGACTAGCACAAATATCTTTGTATTCAAGGGGTGTGGTGACCTAGTGAAGTGGATAGGTTGTCAATCCCCAAGTGGCAGGTCTAGAGTTCAAATTCCAGTGACAATGAAAATTTGCAATTCTTTTTGTATTACAGCTAACTGTTTTCTGTGATTGGTTGGGATAGGATACCTGTAACCCATGTCATATCAGTATGACTGGAAGATCTAGGCACTTATACAACATTGTATGAGGGAACACAAACTGGTACCAGGCAGTATAAACCCAAAATAAGTTCTTAGGCTGTGTAAATCACAGAAACCAGATAGAAAGATGAAAGCCTACTTGGAAGACCTGAGTAAAGAGGTAACCCGAACCTTCGACAGTGCTACTGTAAAGACTAAACTTGTGAAACTGGGCAAATATGCTGGACTTTAAGGAGGAACTGGATGAACCAACCAGGCTGCTAGAATTTCCAGATTCTAGAAGAAAAGAACACATGCTGGCAAACATGTGAACCAGAAGTGTATGGTTTTGACCTACCTTTCTGGGCTATCTGAAATGGCAGCTTGGTGGAACTTGAATTAAATACTAAAGTAGTAAGGATATGTTGTGAAGTCAGTACTGGGGTTGGGGTAAACTCTATAAGAACATGGCAGTTTAATAATATACTCTGACTGCCAGTGTTGGTCTTGGCCATAGTGATATCAGGATAGCTGTAAGAATGGGATACAGAAGATTCTGGAAGGTTTAGTACAAGGTCAAAGGTTCCTTATATGAGTGAACTGCTTTAAAGACTTAGTGGCCATGATATATTTTCACTAGTATCGGCCAGGGTTATTAGTAGGCAGAAGTAGGTAGGTGGATATAGAAACAGAGTAGTTAAATAGAAAACCTACAAGTAGGTTTCAGGTATGGCAGCTAGTGTAGAACCTTTAGGTAGATTACTTAAATTAGACAATAACTAAATTTGTATGAGGTGGCTAGTTGTATACTCTTCCATAGTTGCTTTTTGTGATTGTAAAGCATCTATTAGCCAAATATACTACTAATAAAATCCTAGATCGCAAGTATTCACCTTAATATTTAAAAAAAAAAAATCTTTGTATTCAACATATAAAGTACTTAATTGAAAAAGTAATACCAAGTAACCAAACTAGAGTAGTGAGCAATGCAATGCATACAGAAAAGATCTGTAACAAAAAATTGGTCTAATCAAAATTAGAACATCTTAGGCAGATACTTTTAAAATACTTAATAAATATTTTCTAAAGCAGTTGTACATTACAAATTAGATAATAAGCATCATATCTGTATATAATAAATCAAGGTTTCAAGCTTTCTTGTAATACCAAGCTGATAGTATATTAATATATAGCCAGTAGTACACCCATAAGAAAGCTTACAAAAAGTATATACAATTAAGCTACAGACTAAATCAACTATAGAAGTATATTCAAAAAAGGTACATGGTAAACTGTAGATTAATAATCCAAATCTCAATAAATGTAGCTATGCTAACAAGCTACTAAAAAGTATATATAACTGTATATATCAAACTGGTAGTAAGAAAAACAAGAAACTGCTAAAGTCAACCAATTTAGAAGAAAGATAAGTTATTGCAGATAATAGACAAATGGACTGCTATTGGGTTAAAAGATAAAGAAAATTTGGGCATAATAAGATGATCTACAGCCTTTTGGTAATTTAGTAACAATAATTAAAATACATAGTGAAAGTTACAAAAAAAGTGTATATAGAAAGATATAGATGTAAAGTTGTGTTAAGTGTTGTAATCTAGTAGCACAAATGTAATATAACTATATATAATAGTAATACAAAAAACTAAATAAAGTATAAGTTACAATTTGGCATTATAAAAAAATATATATATTAAATTATTTTATGTTAACAATAAAATATATATAATGTTAAATACTTAAACAGTTTAAAAAAAAATATATGAAAGTGTAAAGAAAAAAACTAAAGAGTTAAAAAAACTTAAATATTATAATAAATAAATATTAGTATAGTTGATTACAGAAAGGTATCATATTATTATAAACACTTTTAAGATTACAGTTTCTCAAAATCAGTTAAGTAAACAAAATACAAAATTTATATCATATTATAGGCATATCTTATAGTACAATATATTAAAATTTTATGTGATTTCATTAAGTTAAGCAAAAGTTATACAAAAAAACTGCAGACTTGGTTTTTTTATTAAGACAAAAATCCAAATTTAAATTTTTTTTATATTTTTATTCTAAAAAAAATCTAATCTAATTTTATTTTAATATTTTATAAGTCTTTCTTTAGTTTTTATACAAGTAGCAACTCAATTAAGCATGCTAGTAAGTAACTGTTAAATTAATTCTAGTAAGATATCATTTTATGCCTTTTTTGCAAAAGCATTTAGCTTATCACAACTATCTGGCCTGTTTTTATAACATATTGACTGCTTTACTTCCTCTTATATATTTTTAATTAAATTAATATCAGAGCTTTATGAGAGCCAATTTATTACACAAATTTAGTGTTTTTTTTAAAAATTTCATTACTATTATAGCAACATGAAGTCTTACATTATCTGTAACAAAGGTTGAATAACCATGCTTATGATTTAATAGAAATTTTTCTATAATGAGAACAACATACTTATAGAGAATTTCAAGATGTAAGACACTAATAGCATTGAATTTTAGTAAAACAAGAGCCTCAACTTTAAATCAAAAGAAGCAACCCTAATATATATGATTTAGATTACACTTTACAGTACAACCTATATAATTAATTTTTTATTTTTTGTGTAGTTTATGTTATACATGACTAGAAGAATCTTAAAAAAAATAAATAGTAGTTTTATCTGATTATAATATCTGCCTAAAATTAGCAACAGTCCAGTCTTTATATACAAGAGCCTATTCATATCTTTTTTTAACATTTGCATCAGAAACAAGCAATTTTGAGAAAGCAATACTTAAGAACAAATTTAAATCATGCAAAGCATAATATATAGTAATTTTGAAAGCCTTTTGTTTACTATAATAGTTATAGAAATTAGTAATTTGAAGAAATTTAAAACAGCAGTTGCTGTTAGTTACTAGCTTTTTTAAGTCTTTCTAATCAGATTAGATTAGAGTTTTTGAATGATCAAGTCTTTTTTTTTACATTTTTGTACTCAACCTACTAAACTCTTTTATGATATTTTATACAAAAGATTTGTTACAACCAACTGCAACTACAATAGTACAAAGTAAATCTCTGTACTAGTAGCTGTAGATTATTGTCACTCTTTGGCTTTTTATTAGATCTTTCTTTCTATTTATTTTTTTTGTAAGAAAAAACAAAAGATGATCTATTTTTTTTGATTATACAAATCAGTTTTATATATATGTTTTTTTTTATACTATCAATATTACTTAGATGTTATACAAAATTTGATCAAAATTTAATATAATTTAATCAAAAATTCAATTTTTTAAGATCATTTTTTAAAAAAAATTCAAAAAATCAATTTTTATCTTTATCTAAAAATGGTACTTTGTTCTATATTTTGCATAATTTTTACATATTCTAACTAAATTGTATAAAATTTTAATATATTGTATTATAAAATATGCCTGTCATATAATATATATTTTGTGCTATATTTACTTATCTAATCTTAAGAAACTGCAATCTCAAAAATGTTCATAATAATATAATACTCTTTGTAATTAAACAAAAATGCTTGTATATTTTATCAAAACTAGATGTTTTTATGTTTATTATAAAAAAAGTTTTAATTAGCAAATAATTGTCTATTTGCTTGATGTATAAGCTATAATAAGCTAAAAGAAAAAAAAATATATTAAAAAAATCTAAGTAATTAGATTATTATAAAAAAAAAGTTTTTTGTTATAAAAATTATATAAAAATAAATATCATTATAGTTATAGTATAAATATTTGCAATAGCAAGTTATAAATTGATAAAAGTATATTAAATAAAATTAATTGTTAAGAGTATTTATTTTAATTAATTCTTTTAATATTAATTCAAAGTGAATTAGTTGTCTTAATTATATATATTTAAAAGAAAAAACAAATAGTTACAAATATATCTTAAAATATTGTTATTATAAATAAATATATATATATATATTTTTAATATTAATAGTAAGCCCATGCTTTATTTTTATTAAAGATTTATTTGAAATTTTTACATAAAGCATAAATTTATTTTTAAAAATATTATAAAAAGAGTAAAAGCTCAGACTAGTTTATCTGCAATCTAAACCAATAGAAGTGGCTAAGACTCATCTAGATTTGGGTGTTTGTAATAATATATAAAAGGTTAATTTAGTATTTTATCTATTATATATACTAGAGTTAATTTTAGAGCAAATTAAGTTAGAAAAAAAAGATTAAAATAAATGTAAAGTAAAAGTTATTATAAATATATAATAAATAATACTATTAATTTAAGTGCATATAATTAATTGTTTACAATTGTGATTATTGGTAGTTTAAGCATATTTAACAAGGCTGTATCTGATTTTTTATCTTTATATCTAATAACAAATTCTAAATTTATAATGTTTGCAGATTTCATAATATTATTTTTAAAATCTTTTTGATAAGGTGTAATTCTGAATAATATAATCTTAATATATTTATAAATGTTTTTAGAAAGATTATAAATTACTTATTCATGTTTATCTTTTAAACAGAATAAATAATTATTAAAATTTAGATTATTAAAACCTAGCATACAATTTTTATTAATTCAAATAACAAAATTGACTGTTTACTGTAAGACTTCTTTTTTTAGAAAATTAACAAAATTATAATAAGTAACAAAACTAAGTCAAGTTAATTCTAAAAAGGTTATGCAAACTATAAATAGAATAATAAAAGTTAAAGTATTTTTAATATCATTTTTAATACTTTTTAAAAGATAAACAGAATAAGTAGTAATTATTCCTATTTTTGATTTTATTTTTTTTATTTTTTTTAAAAAATTAAAATGAGATTTTGTTCATATCTTTATTAATTTATTAAAGATGCCTTCAGAGGCTTCTTTGAATATAAATACAAAATCTATTTCAATTACAAATTTGTTACAAGAGTAAAGCTCAAACTATAAAAAAAAACTAACTGTTATCTATCTAATTTATCTGCAACCTAAACCTACTAGAGTGGTTAAGACTCACCTAAATTTGATAGTATAAAATGTTATTTGTAGAGTAATTATAAAGTATCCAATGATCAAGCCATAAATTAATTTTACATAAAGCATGACCAAGTGGTAGACAAGTATTTAGATCAATATGTTTTAAGCTTGATAGTTCATATAGATTGCAAGTTGTACTATTAATTAATATCTGTTAACATAGTATATATTATTATAGTTAGTTCATGTAAATCTTCTTTGTTGATTTTTGGTATGCTGTAAAATATTAGTATCATTTTTTTATTATGCCAGTTTTGTGCAATATGATTTTTATATTTGTTCATAAACTTTTTAAGACAGTTTATATAAGAGTTTTGTAGTGATATTTTTTGCTTTCATTTGTAATTAAGTAAATAGTCTAATTGATAAAATAAGGCTAATAGACACATATCCTTGTAATGTTGTATAAATATTAGTTTGTTACAAAATTATATTACTAAATAAAAGGCTGTTGTGTTGTAAAAGTATTTCTTGTAGTTCATTAATTTGAGTATTAGTAATATCAGTTATATGAGTAATTGTTTCTGTTATTGTTTCTTGGATGAGATTAGTAAGAAGTATAGAGTTTGAACAAAGAATCTAATTTAGTAAGTGTTTTGATATATAATATATGATATAGCTATTGCTAGTAATTGCTTGGGTATAAGTTGTAAAGATGGAAAAGAGTAGGTAGTATGTTAAGTTATAATTATTTTTGATTTTATTTGAAAAAATTAATTACATTCTTTTTATAATTATTTTTAAAATTTTAATGTGCACTATTGGTTTTTATTATTTTTTTCAGTTTGAAGCAACAATCTTGCCTGTATGTCTTTTTATTAATAATATATAACTACATTATATACAATAGTTTATCAATGAAAATACAACTACTTATATATATAACTTTAGTTATTATCTAATTAAGAGTTCCATCTATAAATTACTTACTAGATACTATATCTAAAACCTGCATATAGGTTTCTTATTTAAACTTTCTAATTTTTAATACTTATTGCATATATGTAATACTTTACATTATTATTATAGTAATATCAGATTAGAGCTATCTATTTACTATTTATATCAAAAAATCACCTTATTGGATGTTACTAAGTATTTATAATCCTTTAAATTTACCTTTAATGCAAACTTACTAAGTATGGTATATTTATATTTTTTTAAAAAACTTTTGCAATTTTGTTAAAAATTTTTGTTTTTTTGCTGTTGTCTGCTGCTGTCTTAATTTGCTTCTTGTTTTCTAAATTAGTTAACTGTATTTTATAAGCTTTTATCTTTTTTCTTAGTGTTTTAAATGTTTACTTGTACTTTTTAGTATTATTTCATATTTTTGTTTCCTGTAAAATCTACAAAGAAGAGTTACAATAAATAATTTTTCTATATTATATATTTTATATATAAATACTTTATACTTATTTATTTGTTATTAATAATATCAAATAGAGTGTAGTAACCTAGTAAAATAAATAGGTTATCAATCTTCAAGTGGCAAGTCTAAGATTCAATTTTTACAAATAATAAATTTTAGAAATTATATCTATATTACAATAACTGTTTTTTGTCAATTAGTTGGATTTTGAATATTTGGAATCTTAAATACATCAAGTTAGATTCCATCTGATGTTAAAAGCTTAGAGCATTTATGTGAAGTATAATATTATATGTATATAGAGAAATGTAAAAAACTAGTATCATATATGTTAAGTATAACAACTAATAAAGAATTCTTAAGCAGATTTCTTAAATAAGAAATATAGAAAAGTTACATATATAGCCAGTTGTATGCTTATTATAATGCCTAATAAAAGTATTAATAAAGTCAAAAGCCAAAGAGGTCATCTTAAATACAAAAAAAAATTAATAATATCAAACTAGTTTTTATTTTTATTAGATGACTTGTTTATTTGACTAACTATTATACAATTTTATAAATAATTTATTACAACATATTTTAGATATAAATATACTTAATATTACTAAAATCATAATTAAATTATATTATTAAAAGTTTTTTTTTAGTGTTAAGATGACCTTTTTGGTCTTTTGACTTTATTATTATAACAAGTATACAACTGGCTATACATATAACTTTTCTATATTATCTATTTAAGAAGCCTATCTGAAAGTTTTTTATTAGTTGTTGTATTTAACATTTCTGCTTAGATGTTTTATTTAAATTCTCTAATTTGAAAACTTTTGTACCAACTTCACTAGATTATTTGTATTCAAATCCTCATCTTAATCTTAAAACTATAATTCTTAAAATTATTTTTATTCTTAAGATAAATCTATCAAGGTAAGCTATATTTCTTTTTTACTACTTACCTAGTTTTCACTATAATCAGAACTGATACTTGCAACTAAAGTTATTTATTAAACACTTTTATTCTTATAAAGTTTATCCAAACTCTAATATTTATCTTTCTGATATTATCTTTATTTTTTTTTTACTAACTATTACTCAGAACTAATAAAACACTTTAGACTACCAATTTAGATGATTCAATATAATATACTTATATATTTTCTTTTTTCTGATAATTCTAGCAGCCTAGTTAATGCATATACCTCTCTTACATATTTGTTATTCAGTTTATTTGACAATTCTTTTGAAGCTGTTTTATGAGCTTCTATAGTCTAACAGAATTATTAAAAGTTTGTATTATCTTTTTACTTAGCATTTTCAAGTAAACTTCTGTTTTTTTAGTTTTTTAGTTTTTTATGTCTAATGGTTTTATCTTAGGTTTGCACTAAAGCCTTATGTAATACTAGTTTCATATTTTTTTATGTATATATAATATTATATTTTGTATAAATGCTTTAAGCTTATAATATTAAGTGAAATCTGATTTTATATATCTAAGATTACAGATATCTAAATTCAACTAATTAACAAGAGACAGTTATTATAATACAGTTATAATTTTTAAAATTTATTGTCTATAAGAATTGAACCTTAAACCTGCTACTTGAAAATTAACAACCTATTCATTTTACTAAGTTACTATTATATATTCTTATTTTATTAAATTATTAACTATATCATATAACTATATATTATATAATAAACTTACTTTTAGTTTTTTTAACTTTATTAGACTTAATACTAAAAAAAATATTTTTATTGAAGAGAATAGTAATAATAGTATAGTGATTAAGTTGTTACTAATAGCAGAATTTTAAAAAATAGTTCTATTTTAGCAACTTGAACAAGGTATCTGAAGTTGTAATTTTGTAATTTTGATTATATTAAGCCTAACTTCAAAAGTAAGAATATTATATAAATAAATCCAGAAAGTATATACTTTATAAAAAACCTGTTTGAAAATTTCAAGTAAAGAGATAATATAATCTTTGACAGTATTATTTGTGAAAATTTTAATCTAAAGAAAAAATCTGAAGTAAATAATTTGTACAGACAAGACTTCTAAATAAAAAAGGTCTACTAATCTGATTGCTAGTTGATTTAAGCATGAATTCACATTATGCAGAGCTTACTAGATTGGTAGTATAGAAGTACTTACAAAAATAAATAAGATATTAGTAAAGTTGTAAAAGTAAGTACTGAAGTTATATAAACTTTACAAAGGTATAGTAATTTAATGATTAGTTCTAATTTTAGTATTGGTTTAGCTATAATAAGTCTAAGTTAGCTGTAATACTAAAAACTTCAAAAAGTTTATTTTAAGGAAAATTAGTTCTAAGATTAAGATAAGAATCTAAGTTAACTTAACAAAGTTAATATAAGTTATAGATTCAGAAAGTTTAAATAGAACATCTAAGCAAAAGTATTAGGTATAGCAACTAGTAAAGAATTCTTGAACAGACTTCTTAAATAGGTAATATAAATAGTTATATATGTAGTCAATTGTACACTTTTCTTATAGTAGTTTCTATAAAACTATGTTATTTATAAAGTGCTAATAAAGTCAAAAAACCAAAAACAACCTCTAGGGTCAATAGCATAGTAGTTATGCTCTAAGATCATAAATCACAAAGTTGCTAGTTCAAATTCTAGTAATAACAATTGTAGAGATGTATTTCCAAAATAGAAAACTGCAACACTGTAGAACCAGAATCACAGAACATCCAATAGACAGACTTATTTCTAGAAATGACAAGTGACCTGCAGTTAAAAAGTCACATAGTAATGAATATAAGTTGGAGCCCAATTTAGAATAACCAAAGTCATAAGACATAATGTAAGGCTGAAAGTTTGACAATGAGAGATATTACATGAACTCTTGATAACAGTTAGTTCTAACTAGAGCCTAATGAAGCCTTTTGATACTGGCAGAAATTGGTGCGATAGTTGCTTTTGAAAAGTTTAAAAGTACAGACCAGAAGAGATCGAGGTTCAGTTTCAGAAGTATATTAAAAATATTAGTTTAAAAAATGCAAAAAATACTGAAAGTTCTTGGCAAGACTAGTCAAAGAGAAAAAAAAAAAAAATCAAAAAGGTCATCTTAATACTAAAAAA